CTGGTAGTGGTTAAGGTGTTATCACCAGTGGGAGGAATCTAACTCCTTCATGCACAAAACTACCCCGTTCAAAAGTGTTAAATGCCCCCTGTTGAAGGCAGTGCAAACTAGGGTCAAAGATGTTGCTGTTACCTTGGTCAAGTTGAGGAGGATGTTGACGCTGTACTTGATGACCTCCATGCAAGGCAGGCTGCGATTGCAGCTCCTGATGAGAGTGAAGATGACTGGCACCGCCTGACCCTCCACGAGACGCTCGCAGCAGGCCGCCGACAGACGGCTCACCACATCTGCACGTAGAGCCCAGGTAAAACGTCAATGCAAACAATGCCAAAGAGCGTTTGGATCTGCAAATCATCTACAAATGTGGAAGCACACTTGCAGAACTATCATAGACTAATATGGTAAGCATATAAAGCCTAGTCCAATCGTACATCATGATTTGTCTTAACTCTAACTGTTTGTGCCTCAATTCCAAAAAAAGGCTGGTTCTTTAGCCTTTGAGATTTGAACAAGTTAGAGATTGAAACAGTTGTGTAAAGCTCCTATTACTAATTTTGTTATTTATTTTAATTTAGAAGGTACTACTTAAAAAAATTTAGATGAAAAGGCCGACAAATATCAATTTTACGGAAGGGGAAAAGCCATGCATTTTATTGATGATTTTCACTGTACATTACCAAATCTTTCTTTTAAAATCAAAGTATTAAAGAAAAAAGGTCTAATCTGATAGAATGGAAAGCAAGGGCTTTGTGTATTTAAAAGCCGATTCTCTATGAACAAGTGAAGAACACATGTATCTGTTTCTGCATCTTAAGTTATTCACTTTTCCAAAACAAAAACTGTTTATTATCTTTCCTGTGAATGAATTTAGCAGTAAAGATGACGTGCCAAAAAAAAAAAGCCAGAAAGAAACAATTTTTATATCCGTCTTTAATTACTGCTGTTCTTTTACCTAGACTGATGAGTGCCTCCAGCAGGCCAGACATTTGCCTGTACTGCAGCAGGTAGTCAAGGGCAGACGCCGTCCGGTTGCAGAGTTTTTTCTCCTCCGTGACCGCCTTGTTGGCCTTGATGCAGCGGGCGCGGGCGGCGGCAATCTTCTTGCTTTTGCAGCTGCGGCGTACGTGGAGACCGCGCCACGCAGACTGTGGTCAGGTTAGCAAACAAGGACGGTTTCTTTTCAATACATGTAGCTGGAACATTCATGCTTATAAAAACAGATTTCCAAACGGTTACAGCGGAACCCCGTTAAGAGGAGGATTGTGCACTGCAACATCCTACTTGTAGCACAGAAAAATTCAGATCTCAAATCTTTAGCAGTCTTTGTTTTCTAGTCATGATTTCATAAACTTCTTGTTATAGAAAGGTAATTTTAAACGTCCCACGGACTAGTTCTAAACTGGAGCCAATTTCATAGAGCTGCTTAAGCACAAAATTTGCTTAAGCGTGAAAAAAACTTGCTTAAAAAAACAAAGGTTACCACCTCAAACTCTATCTGATTGTCATGCTAACCAAAAGACAGCTATTATACGATCCCAAAACAATATGGAGTTTTGGCTGGTTACCTGATTTATCAAGCAAGGATTTCTCGCGCTTAACCAAGCTTTGTGCTTAAGCAGCTCTGTGAAATTGACCCCTGTTGGTACTTGCTGTAGTAAAAGCGGAAAATTTGCACCATGTGTCGGAGAGGCCACATGCAACTTGCCTCCCACACCCTCACAGGATAACTTTTAAGTGACCCTCTAGGGGTCCAGTCGTCAGGACGTACCTGGACGGTCAGAGCTGCGGCCTTCATCTTCCTGACATATTGCCTGGCCAGCCACACTCTGGCCTGGGCCTGGATGCGCACCGCGGCGCGCTGCCGGAGGGCCTGGTGCTGACGTACACGCCGCTGCAGAGCAATTATGCTACGTCGGAGCTTCAGGAAATGGAGGCGCTGGAGAGTGGCACGCATCCAACGCTGTAAATTAAGAGAACAAACGAAATTCAATCTTAGTTTCGGTCAACAATAAGAAATGTAGATCTTCTGCACAAGATATTCTGCACACTGTACTTAACACGAAGACACCTTACACATGTACTGACATTGACTCCACAAAGAGAAAAGGTACCACTGAGGTTTTTAAAACAATGTAAACCACATCGGACCCGTTTCCAAATAATGAATAATTTCATGTGAGAAGTTCTTTTTAAACTTGAAATTAATGGTAATGAGGCACACTCCATAATACATGAACCAGAGCTGTAATCAGGACCAACACGAGACCAGACACAAGACTACTGACACGACCAGTCACAACACCGGTAACGGGGTGAACAATAACAAATGAATGCTTTTGTTGCAGTCTTGTTTTGATCTAGTGGGGTCTTGTGGTCTGACGAGGTCTTGTCTGCGGCAATGACTTAAATTTGTTGCTTAAATCCACTTTTCAATCAGCATTTTCCCCTTTTAGGAGGTGTCACAGGTTAACTCAGTTACCTGAATTATCCTGATGGACTGCATCTTGGCTTTGGCAGCCTGACACATTTTGTACATACGATAGCGATGCTGGATCCTGATTGCTGACAGGTGGAACCTGGCAACAGAGGAGAAGCGCTCCAGCTGGGCCAGCCTGGCCTGCCTCTGGGCCTGGAGAAGGTAGGAGAGAGAAGGGAGGTCATTAAACATCACCAATGACAACTGATAACAAAGATGCTGGTATTAAATAAAAGGTATTCATTCTGTTATTTCCTTTCCTGGTTTCATGGCTACCAGAGAAATACTTGCCCCTAATGATTAGGGCTTGTGTAAACCAATTCCTAAGCTAGAGCGCAGGGCAAAAAAAATTAGGCAAAGATGGCAAACTTACAAAAGAGGTCACTTGAGGTTTTACCCTGAGCTACGGTACGCCACAAAACCCTGATAAAAACCTCGTGAAACCTTGAGGTAGACCTTAAGAGACCACCTGTGTAATTTTGCAGGCTTCCATTCCAACACTTGGTGTTTGACCGATACTTAATCAGAGATGGGGTCTTTAGGGCACTTTGGACAAATAATTCAAGGAAAGACCAGCCTAAGGTCTCTATTTCACCACCATTCACAATTCTTCATTGTAAAATGCAAAGATTTACAAAATTGAATGTCGTAGGTCGTGCCTGGAACTTTTACTTTTATAGATCAAGTCACAATTTATATTTAAAGCACTGTCTGTATTTAAAGAAAGATTTTTGAAAAAATTACACCAATTAGAATTGATACTGACAACAGCGCTTTGAGGTTTTCTGATAACGTAATGAACAATAAAGTCTTTTCTGTTATCATTACTGCTAATATGGACACAGGTCTCACCTCAAGGATTTTCCGTGCAGCGTAACCTCGAAAGTGCCTCTGGATGCAAACGGCGGCTTGCTGCCACTTCCGCATCGTGGAGACCATCTGCCGTGCTATCATACCCCTGGTACGAGCCTGCAGCAGCAGGACGCACTTCCTCACTGACTGGTATCTTCTCTGTTGTGTGTAGCCCCTGTAAGCCGACTGTATTTTGACTGCGGCTCGGATCCTCTTGGTGAGCTCCCTCGCCTGCCGGCCTCGGATGAAAGACTGGATTGTGATGATGGCTCTACAGATCCTGTCATACTTCCTTTGCTGGGCCTGTGTCATTATCAGAGCACGGTATCTTGTCTGGAATGTGACAGCTGCATGCCTCAGAGATAGAAAATCTCTTCTGGCAGCTCGGGCCTTGAAGCTTGCCCCAATTTTGTTGACGGCATTTTGTAGAGCTAGATACCTGCGTCGCTGAATGACCATCCTCCAGTAGGACTGGATTTTGATGGCCGCACGGATCCATTTGACATACTGCCTGGCGAGCCTTCCTCTCTGATAGGCCTGAATGGTAATTACAGCACCACGCTGGATGTGATAGTTTCTAGTGGTTTCCGTCTGAAGTACATGGGCTCTGTACCTCCTTTGCAAGACTAAAGTAGCTCTCCTGATTGCCTGGTATTCCTCTCTCTGTTTTCTGCCTCTGCAGGTGGACTGGATGACAATTGCCGCAGACTTGCAGTTGATGAAACGGCATCTCTCGGCGTGAGCCCTGTAAAAGGCTTGGATCACAGTCGCAGCCCACCGCTTTGCCTGGAAAGTTTGGACAGCTTCCCTCATCAGCAGGTGAGCTCTGTACCTCATCTGTAAAACAGCCGCTGATCTCCTCATCAACAGGAAGTCGGTGCTCTGTCTGTGCCCTCGGTATACAGACTGTATTGTGGTCGCTGCCTGCTTCATCCGGGTGTAATTTTTTCGAGCGGTGTAAGCCCTGTATGCGGCCTGTGCAGTGATAGCGGCACCACGCTGTATGTTGTAGGCTCTGAAAGCCTGGTCTCTTAAAACATGAGCTCTGTATCTTTCTTGAAGCACAACGGCAGACCACTTCAGAGTCAAGAATTCTTTACGCTGCCTCTTTCCTCTGTACAAGGCTTGGATCCTGGCTGCTGCCTGCTTCAAGATGTTGTAGCCTCTCTGCTGCGCAAGTCCTCTGTAAGCTGCCTGAATTTTGACTGCACTTCTTCGGGCCAGCAAGAAGGCATTTCTAGAAGCTCTCGTCAAAAGGTGACCACGGAAGAACTGCTGGATTGTCACGGTGGCTGCGACGAGCCTGAGGTAGCAGTTGCGATCCCTACGCATCCGATACAAGGCCTGGATTGTTATAGCTGCTGCCTTCAGGTTGCTATACTTCTGGAATGCCACATGCATTCTGTACACTGACTGAATGAGCCTAGCTGCGCGATGCTCCCTGGCTATCTTGCGGCCCGCGTTTCCCCTGTACACTGACTGTAAGGTTGTGGCAGCTTTCCTCAGAGAGGTGAACATAAGCTTCTGTTCTCTCGCCAGTCTTGTGGCTCTCCAATACTTCTGCAACACCTTGGCGGCACCTTTCATCTTCAGGTACCTGGTGCGAGTCTGGTAGGCTGCGTGGTTCTTCTGAATGGTTGTTGCTGCGGCGTGTAGCCTGTGAATGTGCTGGCGAGCCAAGTGTCCTCTGGCGTAAGCTTGCAGAGTGATGCATGCACCCCGCTGAATGTGGTACCGGAGGTATGTCCATCTCGCCAGCTGGGTTGCCCTGTACCTGCGCTGGATTATGATCGCTACCTGCTTGAGCTTAGTGTATTTACGGCGAGCTTGGTGCATGCGTACAGCAGACTGAATCGTGACGGATGTACGTTTCCAGTTGAGGTACTGTCGCCGCTGGCAGTACATCCTGAAGTAAGACTGCATGAGTCTAGCTGACCTGTGCCTCGAGGAAATGCGTCTCCCCACTTGACCTCTGTATGCAGACTGCAGAACGACTGCAGCATTTTTTAAGGCGAGGAAATCCCTTTGAACCTGTCGTGACAATCTGGTAGCCCTCCAATACATCTGTAGAACCAAGGCAGCACCTCTCAGCTTCTGGTACTGCGTTTGCATCAAGTGGGACCTGTACGACTTTTGAATCTGAACGGCGGCTGCATGTAACTTCCGAATCTGTTGACGCACCATGAACCCACGTGTCGCAGCCTGCAAAGTGATGCAAGCACCACGGACGACTTGGTACTGGCGGCAGACAACTTCAGAGGCTTTCCGAGCTCTGTATCTTGTCTGGACAATCAGCGCAGCACACCTGAGGGCTCCATACCTGCTACGAGCTTGCTGCATGCGCGCAGCAGATTGGATCCTGACGGCCGCCCGCCTCTGCCTCTGGTAACACTGCCACATTAGGTGCATTCTGAAGTAAGACTGGATGACTCTGGCAGACCGGTGCTCCTTGGCAATGCGCCTTCCGAGTTTCCCCCTGAAGGCGGACTGCAGGACACCCGCAGCTTTCCTCAGGGACATAAATTCCTCTCGAACCTCTCTGGCCAATCTGGTGGCTCTCCAATACTCCTGCAGTACCAAAGCAGCATTTCTCATCTTCTGATACTTAGCCTGGGCAGCCTGGGCTCGGTAGGACTTTTGAATCAGGACGGCAGCCTTGTCCAGTCTCTTGATTTGCTGACGCACAAGGAGCCCACGTATCCCAGCCTGCAAAGTGATGCAAGCTCCACGACAGATCTGGTACTGGAGGGAGGTTGCTTGTGCCAATTTCTGAGCCCGATACCTATTCTGGATGGCCGTTGTTGCCCATCTAAGTTCCATGTAGTGATTGCGAGCTTGATGCATACGAACAACTGATTGAATTTTCACTGCGGCTTGTTTCTGAGAGTTGAAGGTGCGTCTGGCTACCAGTCCACGATAAGATGACTGAATAACAATGGCTGAGGACTTCATCTTTAAGTAATCAATTCGTGCAGATTTTCCAATCAGATAGGCCCTGGCATGCCTCTGGAGGCAAATTGTTGCTGAATGTAGCATCTTATACATCTGTTGCTCCACATGAGCTTTGTATGTTGACTGAATCAGGACAGCAGCTGCGTGCAATTTCCGCATCTGCCGACGCACCAAGTGCCCGCGGACCCCAGCCTGCAATGTAATGCAAGCTCCCCGAGCGATCTGATACTGGATCAAGGTTTCCTGTGCCAATCTCTGGGCCCGATACCTCGCCTGGATAATCAAGGCGGCTCGTCTCAAACGGAGAAAGCGGCTGCGAGCCTGATGCATGCGTACGACCGCCTGGATCTTCAAGGCAGCCCGTTTCTGGGTCTGGAAGTTACGTCTGGTCAGCAGTCCACGATAAGACGACTGTATGATCACGGCTGCTGTCTTCAGCTTCAAGTAATCAGTGTGTACACTTTTCCCAATCAGATAAGCCCTGACGTATTTCTGGAGACAGGCTGATGCTGAGCGCACGATCTTGAAGTTCTGTCGCTCCCTGTATGCCTTGTAAGTTGACTGAATCTGGATGGCCGCATCATTCTGAGCAGCAATTTGCCGACGAGCCAGTACTCCTCTTGCCCAAGCCTGAAGGGCTATGGTGGCCTTCCTCTGAAGATTGTATCTTTCCATCTGGTGATCCCGGCTCACCTTGGCTCTGAACCTTTGTTGTATGACCACCGCAGCCCCCTGAATAGCCCTGAAGTGTTTCGTGGCAATGTACATGCGGACGTAAGACTGCAAGGCGATGCAGCATACCCTCAAGTGACGGAACTTGCGCTGGGCCATCGCTGCACGACACCTGGACTGGATCAGCACCATGGCTGCTCTGAGCTGCAGGTAGTGGCAGCGGGCTGCTTTCCCAATCAAGTAAGATCTTGTGTATTTCTGAATGCACAGTGTTGCTCTTTGCATCTCAAGGTAGCCCTTCTGTGCCCTGTGCATCTTCCAGACAGACTGGATAATGACGGCAGATCCATTGAGGATGGCTAACCATCTCCGTGTCAAAATTCCCCGGGCCCATGCCTGGAGGGTAATGACGGCGCCCCTCATAACCTTGTATTCCCTCAGCTGGACCCGACCCTTCTCTTGGGCTCGGAGGCGTCTCTGCAAGACCAGGGTGGCGCCCCGTAGCAATTCATACCTGTTCTTCTGGGTGTATCCGCGGAACGATTTCTGGATGACTATGCAGGCTCTCTTCTGGAGCAGAAACCTCTGACGCTGCAGGAAGCACCGGGCTAGAGACTGCGCTTTCACCACACGGCGAACGTACATGGCATACCGCCTGGCCACCATGCCCCTGTAGAATGACTGTACGACGACAGCAGCTCGACGAAGGCTCACATACTCCTCTCTGACGGATCGGGCGTGCAGGGTGGATCGCCAGCGCATTTGAATCGCTGAAGCGGCAGATTTCATCTGGAGGTACCTCACACACTGTAGGTGGGCTCGGATCCGTGCCTGAAGGGCAACGACTGCGGAACGCTTCTTGCGGTACCCACACCTGCATGCGTAGCCCCTGAACGCAGCCTGCAGAGTGAGGCAGGCACTGCGCTGGAGATTGTACAGCGCCCGCTGCTTGCTGCCGATGCGTTTAGCTCTGAACCGCTGCTGAAGGATCACAGCGGCTTCGCGCATCTGGACAAAGCAGCATCTCTCCTGGTGGCACCGGACGGCAGCCTGCAGAGTAATGACAGCCCACCGTGACTGCAGATAAGTCTTGCGGGCGATGTACCGACGCAGGGCAGATTGGATTATGATGGCTTTGAGTGTCTTCTTGTGATGACGTCTTGCTAAAAATCCTCTGACATGTGCCTACATGAAAACAAATGGGAAAATTGTTAATAGGCAGAATAAGTTAACAATTAACGACAATACCAAACAAAGCAATATACAGTTTTATATTTCAAACAAGGTGCAAATTTAATAAATATTTCAGAGAGCAACAGTGAAGTAAATGTTGACATGAGCATCCTCTTCCCCAACCTATTTGGGTCACTATCCACACATTGTTAACGAAAATTCATCAATCGGTTATCAAAGAAATTAATTCCAACCTGAAGTGAGATTGCAGCTCTGTGTCTCCGTAGTGCCAGTTGTGCCTGCCGTAGTGCCTCTGCCTGTCGGCATGCTATGACCCGCCGCCTCATCGCCTGCAGCTTGACGATGGACCCTAGCAATCGCTGGTGACGCCGTCGGGTGAGGAACGAGTGGACAGCACACTGTATGATCTTGGCCGCAGCCTCTTGAGCCTGCAGGATGAATAGATGCCAATCATCCAGCCAACCAGTCATACCAAAAGCATTTGCCTCTTCAGCTGAACAGTCTGTAAAGTCCAGCTGCTGTTCAACTATTCCTGTTGGATTGCTGTGGCGATTAATTTGGTGTATGGGCTGTATAAGGGATCTTCAATGTTTGTACTTCAAAAGTGTCAAATGATTCAATGCCAAATATTCTCAACACTGCCATTCAAAACTTCCTGTAAAGGATGTGATATTACTACTTGACATTTCATTATGTCAACCTTAGTTAACTGTACGTTTTAACTGAGGAAAATATACCATTTTTTCACCATCCAAGACCAGACCAGCAAGAGTATAAGCATTTTTTTTTTTGCAAAAAGAAAACACCTAACAGGTACAAAGAAAAAAATAACCTATAACGTGCGACAAATAAGACATTTGTAATAACCTCCTGTGTGAGGTGCAAGTGATCTGGAGCAGACTTGCTTACCTGTCTTTGTTTGACCAACTGACGTAGTCTGTGGGCCTTCCACACCACCTGTATGGTGCGCGCCGCCCTCGTCTCGGTCCGCAGATCCAGCAGACGGGCACACAAGTAAGAGACATAGGTGATCACAACCTGTCGAGAAGAGGAAAAAGAGAGTTTGATCATTACTTTGTACCACGCTGACGCACTAATCAGAACTTCACACTTTGAACTGTGGGTAAAATTATTATCCGACAGATTGGTGAACAAGAGTTTACATCAAGTCATTTCACAGAATAATCATCCAATAAAAGCTTGCTCTGTAAGCGTTTGCTTCAACGAGCACACTAAAATGTGGTTTGCTTCATGCGACTGTAGAGGGTGCAACGAGGGCGCCAACTGCTTCACACTTGACGCAAGTTGAACTGATGAGCATGGAGTGACACATTCACGTAGCGAGGCTCCCAGAGGTGACCAGACATATTCGTTACCACCAACCTTTTCATCCGGGATGGTGTTAGACATTTCGGCCGACTTCACCACTCCAGGAACACCGCCCAGCTCCGACACCTTGTCGTACAACACCCTGAAGTTCTCTCTCTCGTTGGCCAGAAACCGTTCACGTTCTCCTGGTTTGCCCGTGCCTTAAAAAAGAAAGTAATACTGTACATTAGGGGAAGAAAGATGACGCAATCTCTCCGTAAAGCAAAATGTAGCATTTATTGGATCAACTTAATCTCAGCTAAGTCTGCAAAAGCAGAATTACATGCTTAGCTGCACGGTCTTTCAAGAATGATGACAGCACTCTTTTAAACACAACAGATCTCTAAGATCTACTGTATTTGAGAGATTAGACATTACTGTTAGACATTACCGAGTCTC